GCAATGTAGAATGTTGGTCGGAATGATGGTTCCCGCAATCGCTGCGAGTCAAACTAATTGACTGATCGCGCAACGCCTCGTTGCACCTGCGGCTTCGCTCATTGGCGTTGAACGATACAGTTCCTGTTCTTCATGTTGCAGCCGCCGGCCGGTGGTCTTACCCCGGTGCGTGAATTTAGCAGGTCAGTGTGCCGTTGGCGGCGCCAAAGCGCGCAGCGTTTCACCAGCCGCTGCGTGGATGGCAAGTTGCGGGCGCACAGCACAGTAGCTTTGTATTATTCAAACAAAACAGTGGTCAATTTCAAACGGTCGACAGATTGGCGATGTAGCTTATATACTATAGTATTACCAATGTTGGTCGGACTGAAAGCTACGGCTGGGTCCTCACAGACCCCGGAGTGCGCCACGACAATTTCAAATAATTGCTCCTTGTAGCACTTGCTTTGCTCTCCAAATTCGAACACTGATCACGTTATAGTGGATATTTTTTTCTTGCATTGATTTGGATGTTCCCATATTAACTCCCCTGAGTCTGAGTGCAACATTAGAGTGTGTTGTTTGACGTGTTGATTTCGATTGGGTTTGGAGAGCTTGTATTCCTGCATTCCTGCGCCCCTTTGAACTTGGACGGCCGACGACGCATAAAAAAGAATGGGCAGTCTCAGGGTGGCTGAGTCAATGGCATTCAATGCGAGCGGTTTCCAAATAATAAGTCGGATTTTGGCACTGCCACTGCGGTAGCAGCCAAGTCCTCTGAGTCTGCTGGAAATGGGGCTCAAAGTTTACGCGCGCATGTTTGTTAACTGTCATGTTTTGACATAGGTTTGGGCCTCTTAAACTATATCTAAAGTAGCTCGAAATCAATTAGAATGTAGACGAACTTAGGCTTCCACCTTGTTTAGTCGTCATCATGGGGATGGTGGACGGGGTGACTTTTATCCCTCCACCAACTTTGGCCAGTCACTGCCACCCCTGTCAGAAGCAAGGATGCCTAAGGTGCACCTGCTTCCGCCTGGGGAAGTCTTGGCGGCAGCAAAGTCATTGTCAGTTTGGCGAAGGCTCACGGAAGGACACATGGCTGACTCTGGGGGCAACGTGGAAGCGTTGCAAGAGCACAATATTTGGGTTGGGATGTGTCGTTTGCCACAAATTCCAGAAATCAATGCCGAGTTCTTCTGGTGCTGCTGCGTCTTCCAATTTTGCAAACTTTTCAGTGCAGCCGCAGATTGGCAAAGGAATTGGGGTCCAAACCCGTAGTAGTTGTAGACTGTAGTGGTCGTAGACTGTAGTGGTCGTAGACTGCAGTAATGGTAGACTGTAGTAGTAGTGGTAGTAGTAGTAGCAGTAGACTGTCGTAATAGTGGACTGTGGTACTAGTCGACTGTGGTACTAGTAGGCTGTAGCATTAGTAGACTGTAGTAGTAGCAGTAGACTGTCGTAGTAGTGGACTGTAGTATTAGTCGACTGTAGTGCTAGTAGCCTGTAGTATTAGTAGACTGTAGTGGTCGTAGTCAGTAGTAGTAGACTGTAGTAATGGTAGACTATAGTAGTACTAGTAGTAGTAGTAGTAGTAGTGGTAGCGGTAGTGGTAGTGGTAGTGCATGGTAGTGGTAGTGGTAGTGGTAGCAGTAGACTGTAGTAATAGGGGACTGTGGTACGAGTCGACTGTAGTACTAGTAGACTGTAGTATTACTAGTAGTAGACTGTATAGTAGTAGTAGTAGTAGTAGTAGTAGTAGTAGTACTAGTACTAGTACTAGTAGACTGTAGTGGTAGTATTAGACTGAAGTAGTTGTAGACTGTAGTGGTCGTAGTCAGTAGTAGACTGTAGTAATGGTAGACTGTAGTAGTAGTAGTAGTAGTAGTAGTAGTAGTAGTAGTAGTAGTAGT